AAATTCAATGGCAATGTACTAACAGGGAAGACTACAAAGGGACCTGGGAACAGGCTGCAGGTCATGGTACGAGGCAATGGTCCCGAGTGCAGCCCCACGTCACAGGTGTCAAGTACTAGACCGGGTGTTTACATGTGCAATGAAGACGAAGAAGAGATGTCCTGTGGCCAGAAGAATTTAAAAATTCATCAGGACAAAAATCGGAGATAAGGACATAACACCACGCACATTCTCCTGAGGTCGCCCATCAACCAAAGTAACTGAGCTGTAAGGCAATGGGCGCTGTCTAGCAGACTAACAAAACTCACTCAAGAAAAAGGTCTTGGTGTCAGAATAACACCACGCACATCTGAGTGCGTATCACCAGTATTGCTGGAGCATATGGGCGCCTAGCAAACCTAACAGCAGCATTCCGCCATCTTAATAAGGAATCGTTCAGGACCCGTACACTGTGTACGTTAGTCCCATATTGGAGTATGCAGCACCAGTTTGGAATCCACATCTAGCCAAGCACGTAAAGAAACTAAAAGTGCAAAGGAGGAGAGGTTAAGATAAATCGACCTGACGACACTGGAGGACAGGATATATAGGGGCGACATGATAACTACATATAAAATACTGAGAGGAATTGACAAGGTACCCCCACACACACTAATTAGGGTACCTTTTGTGAATGTTTGAAGACGATCAGGAGAGGCACAAGTTATCGCCAGGAAATTAAATTTTGTTAAATAACACTTGGCATCTGCTAGAAAAATGACAGGATGGATAATGAGAACCTTCAAAACTAGGGAGGCCAAGCCCATGATGACACTCTTCAGGTCACTTGTTCTATCTAGGCTGGAATATTGCTGCACACTAACAGCATCTTTCAAGGCAGGTGAAATTGCTGACCTAGAAAATGTACAGAGAACCTTCACGGCGCGCATAACGGAGATAAAACACCTCAATTACTGGGAGCGCTTGAGGTTCCTGAACCTGTATTCCCTGGAACGCAGGCGGGAGAGATACATGATTATATACACCTGGAAAATCCTAGAGGGACTAGTACCGAACTTGCACACGAAAATCACTCGCTACGAAAGCAAAAGACTTGGCAGATGATGCAACATCCCCCCAATGAAAAGCAGTGGTGTCATTAGCACGTTAAGAGACCATACAATAAGTGTCAGGGGCCCGAGACTGTTCAACTGCCTCCCAGCACACATAAGGGGATTTACCTGGCAGTCTTCAAGCTGGCACTGGACAAGCACCTAAAGTCGGTTCCTGACCAGCCGGGCTGTGGCTCGTACGTTGGTTTGCGTGCAGCCAGCAGCAACAGCCTGGTTGATCAGGCTCTGATCCACCAGGAGGCCTGGTCACAGACCGGGCCGCGGGGGCGTTGACCCACGGAACTCTCTCCAGGTAAACTCCAGGTCCAGCACCTGCACGTGCCAATAGGTGCGCGTATCCTTCCCCACGGTAAGTAAATCATTATTGAAAATTTGAAGCCTATCGAATGGGGAGTTAACAAGTTTCAAGCAAATTAGGAGGAAAACGAAATGAGGCAACCTCTTAAATGTACCTCTTCGGGTAATACCTAATCAATACTACACAATTAATGGCTATATAATGCGTGTACATGCATAAAATATGAACGTTCTCACGTCCTGTGTAATGGATATTAATATTAAAAAAGAATATAAGTGGGGTTGCTGAAACCAGAATCAATGATGATGAATGGAATAGTTAGTCCCTATATTGACTTCTGAAAAAAAAAAAATGTAGTTAGCGATGCATCATAGACAATGTTTACGGGGAGTATATGGCAAGCTTTTATAGATTAATTGCAACTATATTACCTTGTAATTTTCTAAAAGGAATTCATATTTTTTGTATATTTCATATAGTGCAAACGTAAAATGACTAAAAATCGAGTTCTAGATTAATCGCTAGCGCGCACAGCTCACACAATCAAGTCCAGGGGTCGATCCCCGGTGTGGATGAAAACACGCATTTCCTTAACACACCTGTTGTCCATGTTCACCCATCAGTAAAATGGTTACCTGGGTGTTTGTCGACTGGTGTGGGTCGCATCCTGGGGATATAATTGACCCAATTTGCCCGAAATGCTCTGCATATGAAGGGGCTCTGTCACTGATGTCAGCTAGGCCTATAGACCTTGTAAGTGTACTTTTGGAAATAAAGATTATTGGAGGTACTGGTACACAAGTAAAATTATAACGTATGCCACTGTATGCCTTTGATAACATTGTTTATTAAAACATTTATTAAATATGAAAACCCATTTGTAGAAAGCTAAATTTAACATGCATAAAGGAATAAAGCTATATAAAAATGCAAAGACTTACCCTATCATCTTCATAAATTAAAAAAAAAAAAAAAAACAGCTTTCAACAATTAGCTTCTTATTGGGGTTCTAGTAAGAAAACTGTTTAAAAGAATAGTTTGCACACTGTTTCGTTTTAATACGAAGCTTCGAGTACATGGGAAAGAGAAAGTGTTGATGAAGACCGTTGAGACATTCGGGTGATGCAACACTACTCCGATCAGTGGCACAAGGTCGTATCGTTTTTGACATCTTTCTTACGTTTGGGGGTGGGGTGAGAAGGCGCTAAATCCATGGGGATCTTACATATACTACGCTGTTACAATCCATTTTTATGTAAAGCTTCCACTAACAGTGTTACAACTGCTTTGGTTAATAATATAGACCCCCAGTGTATAACTGCTTGTACTCTATTTATACGACTTATTACTGACTGCCTTCTGTCTTCCAAGTATTACATTAATTATGTTATACCTTTAACTCCGGCCTGCACCAATAGGACTCACGAAATCTTAATACGATAGCCAGATGGCACAGTGACTTACGATCTGGCCTAGAGCTTTACGACTCTAGCCATGAGTTCTAACCCCCAACCGTACCATAGTTTGTCTGTCGATTGCATATTTCTTGCCTCATCGACAAGAAATATGCAGTCAGCTTATGCTTTGTTGTAGGTTTAAGATTACGAGTTACGACTTGCCACTGAAGCTGTGATAATGCTTGAGAACAGCCATTAATTAACAATATAACTAACATACAAAAAGGAGTTGCCACACTACAGTATTAGATGTCCAATCACCGGATTTTGAAACAAAAAATTCTAACAGAATTTTACATTTGAAAAGAAATATTTATATTGTTCTGTTAATGAAAGCTGTGGAATTTATTTTTATAATTTTCCTAAATTCAGCATGTGTAAATATGAATAATATAATAATTGTATATTAAAATGTGACAGTGTTTTGACCTTTCAAGAAGTTTTGTGTGAAGGAGGGTGAACAGCGGAGTGATACAGGGGAGGAGGACGCCATAGAAAATTGAGTGGCGAAATAGTCTAATAATTCGGCGTCATCGAAGCCATAATGAGGTGTTTCGGCCCGAATTTGTAATAGGAACATATATTAAAGTCCCCTTCTGAAGAATAGGGACAGGATATTTGTGGGGCTTCCAGAATTAAGTAGTGATGGTGGAAATTAATGGGATGACGCCATCATTCATCCAAGTTTGTAAGCCATTGTCCTTTCATTTAGATTTCTCGCTGGCCAGTGTAGGGTTCTATTAGATAGGCGTTGAGGTGTCATCAAATTATAATATAAATGGCCAGTGGTAATAAATTTCTTAATTATCTATCTTTTGGTACGTATGCGCCTGGTGTCAATTAGAAAATTCTTATCTTGTGTATGTTTTAGTGTTCCGATTAATCCTTTCTGGCGATCGTATCCTTCAATTTTCATGCAGTCCACACTATTTTATAATTTTACCATTATTGGCATTAATGTTTAATGTTGTAATTATTAATTTAATGTCAAGTCAAGCATCGAAGGAGCGACTGTCCTGTGACCTCACTCAAATTACTTACATGTAATAATTAAGGTAATACCCTGTAAACCTCGTGCAGGTAATTTCTCACAAAAGAATTATGTTTCATAGAAAGGATGAAAAAATAAACATTAAAACTTCTGCATCTTTGATGCGTATTTTTTACTTCAAATATCAATTTTTTTTAAGATTATCAAGCATTTGTTAAATTACTGGATGAGCACTATTTAAAATTAATGACAAAAAAACTAATTTAACAGACCACCCTATAAACCGTTATTTCAAATTACACAAATTCTTTGGCTAGATAAACCAAGCTATTTTATATAACGTAAATTTTAGTACAGCTAGGCTGCTAGGTCAGTTTTAGAGCTCTATTAAAAAATTCAAGTTTAAAATCTTCACAATTTTAGTTAACATTTTCGGAACTAAAATTGTTAAGAAAGTGTTAAGAAAATCTTAAAAAAAAAAATCACTTAAATTTCATTCAAGTTGTGTACTCACCAATACTACTTCTGTGATATGAAGAATTATCTTCCAGAAATGGCTGTAGCCTCCATAGGTGTCTAGTGTGCTGCTGAGAAACACCGAGTTATGTAAGAAACCTCACACTGAGTGCGCCATTAACCCACCAGGTTATATGTATATATACATCAGTATGTGCAACACTACACTCTCGGAGATACAGGCAACCTCCTTCAAGAAATCGTCGATAATTAAGGTTCACTAGAGCACAATCTGTTATTAGAAAATCTACGTGACAGTAGGACACCAGTACACCTTCACTGACATGCACACACTGGCCTTTCACCCTCACACTCTTGACCCAACACAATTGTTCAATAGTTTAACTACTGTTCCTGAGGTGCGTCGTGCGCTTAGTTTATAGATTTTCCTTTTGACTTTCATTACTAGTGATTTATAATATTTTTTAATTGAAAATGTTTAAACGATAAATTTAAGTGTAGTTTTTCCATCAAAATTTTTAAGAGTATTTTCACGAGGTCTTGATAAAGTTAAGTATAGTTTTTAACAATTTCAGTGATGGCTGCTAAAGTTGTGGCTATGGTAACTCCATCAATCAACAGTGGACGATGTGTGACATTGTATAGCGAGGTTAGTTGTTGTGCAGGTGACGACTGTGACATCAACAGTGCTGGTGATATCAGTAGTGTTGGCTCTGTAGTGCAGGTGACGAGGGTGATATTAACAGTGCTGGTGATGGTGACAGCAGTGCTGGTGATAGTGACATCAGCGGTGCTGGCTCTGTAGTGCAGGTGATGGCGACATCAACAGTGCTGGTTCTGTAGTGCTGGTGGTGACAACAGTGCTTGCTCTGTAGTGCAGGTGATGGTGACATCAACAGTGCTGGCTCTGTAGTGCAGGTGATGGTGACATCAACAGCGCTGGTTCTGTAGAGCAGGTGATGGTAACATCAGTGCTGGTTCTGTGGTGCAGGTGATGGTAACATCAACAGTGCTGGTTCTGTAGTGCAGGTGATGGTGACAACAGTGCTGGCTCTCTAGAGCTGGTGATGAGGATGACATTATCAGTGCTGGTTCTGTAGTGCATGTGATGGTGACATCAACAGTGCTGATTCTGTAGTGCAGGTGGTGACAACAGTGCTGGTTCTGTAGTGCAGGTGATGGTGACATCAACAGTGCTGGTTCTGTAGTGTAGGTGATGGTGACATCAACAGTGCTGGCTCTAGAGCTGGTGATATTATAAGTGCTGATTCTGTAGTGCATGTGATGGTGACATCAGTGCTGGTTCTGTAGTGCAGGTGATGGTGACAGTGCTGGTTCTGTAGTGCAGGTGATGGTGACATCAACAGTGCTGGTTCTGTAGTGCAGGTGATGGTGACAACAGTGCTGGCTCTCTAGAGCTGGTGATGAGGATGACATTATCAGTGCTGGTTCTGTAGTGCATGTGAGGGTGACATCAACAGTCCTGGTTCTGTAGTGCAGGTGATGGTGACATCAGTGCTGGTTCTGTAGTGCAGGTGATGGTGACATCAACAGTGCTGGTTCTGTAGTGCAGGTGATGGTGACATCAACAGTGCTGGTTCTGTAGTGCAGGTGATGGTGACATCAAGAGTGCTGCTTCTGTAGTGCAGTTGATGGTGACATCAACAGTGCTGGTTCTGTAGTGTAGGTAATGGTGACATCAACAGTGCTGGTTCTGTAGTGCATGTGATGGTGACATCAGTGCTGGTTCTGTAGTGCATGTGATGGTGACATCAGTGCTAGTTCTGTAGTGCAGGTGATGGTGACATCAACAGTGCTGGTTCTGTAGTGCAGGTGATGGTGACATCATAAGTGCTGGTTCTGTAGTGCAGGTGATGGTGACATCAACAGTGCTGGCTCTGTAGTGCAGGTGATGGTGACAGTGCTGGCTCTGTAGAGCTGGTGATGAGGATGACATCATCAGTGCTGGTTCTGTAGTGCATGTGATGGTGACATCAGTGCTGGTTCTGTAGTACAGGTGATGGTGACATCAACAGTGCTGGTTCTGTAGTGAAGGTGATGGTGACATCAACAGTGCTGGTTCTGTAGTGCAGGCGATGGTGACATCAACATTGCTGGTTCTGTAGTGCAGGTGTTGGTGACATCAGTGCTGGTTCTGTAGTGCAGGTGATGGCGACATCAACAGTTCTGGTTCTGTAGTGCAGGTGATGATGGCATCAACAGTGCTGGCTCTGTAGAGCTGGTGATGAGGATGACATTTTCAGTGTTGGTTCTGTAGTGCATGTGATGGTGACATCAACAGTGCTGGTCCTGTAGTGCAGGTGATGGTGGCATCAACAGTGCTGCTTCTGTAGTGCAGGTGATGGTGACATCAACAGTGCTGGTCCTGTAGTGCAGGTGATGGTGGCATCAACAGTGCTGTTCTGTAGTGCAGGTGGTGACATCAACAGTGCTGGTTCTGTAGTGCAGGTGATGGTGACATCAACAGTGCTGGTTCTGTAGTGCAGGTGATGTTGATATCTACAGTGCTGGTTCTGTAGTGCAGGTGATGGTGACATCAATAGTGCTGGCTCTTTAGAGCTGGTTATTGTGATAACGGTGCTGGCTCTGTAGAGCAGGTGATGAGGGTAACATCAACATAAGGAAGGATACTGCTGCAGGCCTACTAACCCAGGCTAGTCAGGTCTAATTCACACCCATTCATATCCACTCACATATGTGTCCATCTTATTTTTGATACTACACAACGGTTTAGGTTCAGTAATGTTATTCATTTTTTTGTTGTAGTCCACAACTCTATTACCAAACCAATGCTTTCCTATATCCTTTCTAAATTTATTTTTTTCCAACTTGAAACCATTGCTGTGAATCCTGTCTTGATTAGACATTTTTAGAACATAAGGGAGGAACACTGCAGTAGGCCTACTGACCCATGCAAGGCAAGTCCTTATCAAAACCACCCATTCCCACCCACGTATTTGTACCAGCCAAAGTTACCCTGAAATTTGCTTCAGTATCTCAGGTACTAATCAAACCCAGCCATTTTCACTCATATATTTGTCAATCTGTTTTTAAAGGTACCCAAGGTCTTAGCCTCAATTACACTGCTTGGCAGATTGTTCCATGCATCGACAACTGTGAAAACCAATGCTTACTTACGTCTTTTCTATATCAAAATTTATCTAATTTAAAGCAGTTATTTCTGGTTCTTAATAGATTCAATATCTTCAGTATTTTAATTATATCGCCTTTGTTTATGCCCATCATCCACTTACATACTCCAGTGATATCTCCTCCCACAGAAGTTTATAGCGTTCCTTATCAAGGTTTGGAGGCCTATAAATCACACCCAAGATTAGTTTTTCCATGACCCTCGAGAAACTGTAGCCAAAAATTCTGTATCCAACGCTTCTAATTTTATATCTTGTCTAATGCAACAATTTATATTATCTTTGACAAACATCGCCACTCCACCATCCTTCCTGTTGACCCTATCAGTGTGGAATAATTTATAGCCTTATATGTGGCATTCGGAAGGCATTTCTCTATCTTTCAGGTTTAACCAGGTCTCTGGTATAGCAATAATATCTATGCTTCCTGCACATGCAATTACTCTTAGCTCATCTAATTTCTTACGCTCCTACAATTAGTATACTAAATCTCAAGGGAGTTTAATCACTGCTGCTCTCTACTGTCTCTTTGTTGACCAGTTCCAAATCTTTTATTAGTAACTTTGCTGCTTTCATCCCTCATACCAGCAACCCATACCTCAATCTTCTATCAGTTTAAAGTCATAGACAACTCAGCAATGGCACCCTCGACAAAGTTGGCTGACGCTACCACTCTTGCCAAAGAGAGATGTGCCCCATCCCTTGCATACATATCACGTTTGCCATAGATATTGTCCCAGTTATCAATGAATGGGATTGCATGTTCCTTGAAGTGCCTGTCTAGCCAGCAATTTACACCAATTGCCTTAGACTTCCATTCATTGCCTACTCCCCTTCTAGGTAATATGCTGCATACGATCAGGACTTCTCCTTGAGACCTAATTAAATGCATAGCTGTCCTGTACTTACCCAGCAGCTCCTGTTTCCTGCCCTTCCCAATATAATTTTCACCAGCACTGAGGCAGATAATGGGCGTGTTCCCATTACCTGACATGATATTATCCAACCTGTTGACAATGTCACCATCATTAGCTCCTGGGAAATACACCCTCTGTCTTACCTTCCTACCTCTGTTACAGAAAGCAGTCAATATATTTTACCTGTGAGTCACCGACCCCCAAAGATATTCTTACCTTTATTAGCAGTGGAGTTAGTTGTACCTTTAACCTACCTGACAGGTGAAGGAGGTGAGATCAACAGTGCTGGCTCTGTAGTGAAGGTGATGATGGCGACATTGTCAATCATGTGACTGACTTCCAACATGAATACTGACTATTCCACACTTAAACTTGTTTACCAACACTATGATTCAATTACAGTAAGAATGACTCGCACTGTGATTCACCCTCTCTATGACTCAGACACGGTCTGATTCACCCACACTTCTACGTCCATTTCCAGCCTTACCTCTACCACTTCTATCTCTCTTGGTCTCGTCCCTGTCTGATCGCCTATATACATGTATATACTGACTCCCTCTGTTTCGTGTTAATGTGACTTGGTAAATGGTCCAAGACGGACCGAAACGTCATCGTAAGCTTCTCTTTTCTATGTGCGGATTATTTGTGCTATTACACCTACACTGTGTTCGACTCACCCATGTAAAGTTTGACTCACCCACACTGAGTTCGACTCGCCTCACATAAAACCTGACTCACCCACACTAAGTCTTGGACTTCTACTCCAACAACAACTAAACTTGATGCGTTAAAAACGCATAGGAAAGGTTGAGCACGGAGCAGGAGGTTCATAAAGGCCATGAGACCAGTGCAATACCTGTACCAACAGCGATATTTATGACAATGGTGCCAAAGTGTGGCACTGTTGCAAACCTCGAGAGAGAGGTTGATGTCCAGGTGTGATGGCACCTCAGAGGCTTCCTTGTGGGGCCATGCAAGAAGTTTTCTCAAAAGGACACTATAAATCATTACCAGTGTCTGGTAAATGTGTATGCTGGAGTTTGCAGAGATTATTGTAAATCTTGCAGCAGCAGCCATAACAGCAATACTAGCAGCTATTTTAATAAACTACCGCCTACACTAGCAACATTCAGAACTAATATCAGCTGCAACACTACCAGATGCAGATGCAGCAAAAAGAACAAGCAACATTACCACCACCTGTAGCATCAACACCAGTATCAATACCGCCACAAACATCAACAGAAAAAACACCACCAGCAGCAGCAACACCACCAACAGTAGCAACATTAACAACAACAACAGCACCCCCACAGCCACTAATAACAGCAAAATCACAAGCCTCGGCACCACCACCACAAGCAGTAGCAGTAGCAACACCTCCAGCAGAAGCACCACCACCACCAATACTAGCAACAAAAGCACCAACACAACCACCAGTAGTGGCAATACCACCAACACAAGCAGCAGCAACAGCAACACCGGTAGTAACAGCAGATGTAACAATATAGGAGACTCGTGTTAGTTTTGATATACGAATCGATCTTGCCCATACTTCTAATCATGTCGCCAATACTTCGAGTATTTCCTCTTTCCAGCCTTTTTCGCCCTCTTAAAGATTTACAAAACAGGTCTGTGCCTTTATGGCAGACTTAAGGAGCAAGGGAAAAAAAAAGGTATTCGTCTTTTACAAACAACGGTCATATATGTGATAATAAGG